GCAGCAGCTGACTTGGGGATGCCTGGGGTTCTTAAGTTGAATCTGTATGTAAGTCAGAACTGGCGTCCAGATTCAGCCGCTGTTGAAACTGATCGGTTTCAGCAGTGGCTGAATCTGGACGCCAGTTCCGACTTACATACAAATTCAACTTAAGAACAAACCTACAGTCCCTATCTTGTACGTAACCCGGGGACTGCCTGTACTTTGCAATTTGGAAACAGTGATTTACTAGCATCCAGGCGAATGTCACTGTGTATAGAGCAGTATTTCTTAAACTGTGTTCCGTGGCACACCAGTATGCTGCGAGGCAGTCAGAGATGTGCTGCGGAGCGCAACAGAATTCAAAATGGCAACCCTTAAAGGGGCAAGCGACTTTTTTTTTTTTTTTGCTCAATAACTTTCCCCTGACCTTTTTTTCCCCTCAATAACTTTCCCCCAAACCCTTTTTTCCCCGACCTTGTTTTTTTCCTCAACCAAAAATCCTTAGTGTTCCTCATAAAAAAAAATTGTTTAGTGTTCCTGGTTTTAAAAAGTTTAAGAAACACGGGTGTAGAGGGCGAGCACAGAGACTGTTCCCCAGTTCAGTTCCAAGTAAGCCTATTTTGAGGATGCAAGCAGAATTTAAAAATCTACTTGAGGAGGGAAAGTCCTAAGTAGGAAAGTCCTCAGCACAGGACACAATGTATTCCACTCATAAGTACTTAAGAGCAGCTTAACCAATGTGTCCCCAGGGAAAACCAGGCTCAGCTGGAGAAACAGATTGTGAGTAGGCGTCTCGAACTGGCCAAGGGATTAAGATGCACAGCTGCACAATGCTCATGTGAATGAATGGGAGTTGTTGTGCGTCTAGCTTTCCTGCATGGCTTGGAAAATCTGCAGGCTGCTTCTTCCTTGCAACTTGGCACCCGGGTGTCGTTCCATAATGACATTCTTGGCATACTTACACTCGCCTCCAGAGACACCCCAGAGCAACAGCTGTAATAATCAGGATGGGAAGCCCTGCCAGAAAAGAAAAGAAAACAAAAACTAAACGCTTTTGTATTCTAAATAAAGGCCATGACCCAACCACTCCAAGATGAATAACCCCTGGCGTCCTGGCCAAATTTGAGTTCTAGTCAATGGCTCTGCTTTTTAGGGAAAGTACCAACCGCATCTTTAGATCATTAACGGGGCTGGTACGGTACCCTGATTTACATCTCATTTGCAAGATGATTCTTTCTGTAGCCCAGTACTCATCCGACTGTGGCAAGGCCCCGATTACCCGGACAGCATTGCTTTCTACAGTGCAATGCGCTTTCTTCTTAGGAGTTTCTCCAAGCCAAACACCGAGCAGATGGGACACTAGCGGGAGCCGATGCAAGTCCAGTCTGAGCTAGATTTGGCTGCTGGCGTTGAAACAAACAACACAACCTCCCCACCCCCCTCCGGTTTACAGACCGGTAAGCTTAACAGTTCTTACCCACAGACGAGAGCATAATGCGGGTGGAAGCTGTAAAAGAACACAGAGGGGTTGATGGTCACAGATGGATTGCCATTCCACACGTGCCATAAGCATGTAGCCCCCGCCCGCACCAAAGCGACAGAGTTCCACCGTAAGCAAAGCAAACCCAACCGCAGTGCTGTAATGTCCGACTGCCTGTGTGTGACTCATAAGGGGCCGGGGGAAAAAGGTACTTGGCTTGTCTCATTCGTTTCTGGTTTGCCTCATTTCGGAGAGCCTTGGATGAACTGGGGAAAGGCCAAATTAGGCCTCGGTGGAAGTGGGTGCCCCTCCATTGACTCCACAAAGGTCTGATTAGGAACCCGAAGGCTGGATTTCGCCTTCTGATTCTGCATTAAAGAACAAGTTAAGGCCAGATTGTGCTTGGTGCTTACTCAGAAGATAGAGACGCGGGTAGGAACGTTCCCACTGCGTTCTCCTGTATGGTACGTCTAGACTACATGGCTCCGTCGACGGAGCCATGTAGTCTAGACGTACCATACAGGAGAACGCAGTGGGAACGTTCCTACCCGCGTCTCTATCTTCTGAGTAAGCACCAAGCACAATCTGGCCTTAACTTGTTCTTTAATGCAGAATCAGAAGGCGAAATCCAGCCTTCGGGTTCCTAATCAGACCTTTGTGGAGTCAATGGAGGGGCACCCACTTCCACCGAGGCCTAATTTGGCCTTTCCCCAGTTCATCCAAGGCTCTCCGAAATGAGGCAAACCAGAAACGAATGAGACAAGCCAAGTACCTTTTTCCCCCGGCCCCTTATGAGTCACACACAGGCAGTCGGACATTACAGCACTGCGGTTGGGTTTGCTTTGCTTACGGTGGAACTCTGTCGCTTTGGTGCGGGCGGGGGCTACATGCTTATGGCACGTGTGGAATGGCAATCCATCTGTGACCATCAACCCCTCTGTGTTCTTTTACAGCTTCCACCCGCATTATGCTCTCGTCTGTGGGTAAGAACTGTTCCACTCTGTTAAGCTTACCGGTCTCCTCTCTCCTGTGCATGGGAGTGATTGCTCCTGGTGGCCTTGGGCTGCCTGCACACCCGAGGGAGTTGGGAAGGGGCAGAGGTGACAGATCCCAGCTCTCCTGTTGCATAAGCTAGGATGTAGGACTGGGATCATGGAACACTAGAACTGGAAGGGAGCTCAAGAGGGCATCAAGTCCAGTCCCCTGACCACACGGCGGGACCAAGCATGGTCTAGCTCATCCCTGAGGATAGCTCAGGAGTTTGAACACTGGCCTGCTAAATCCAGGGTTCAAAACTTGGGGGGCTGTTTAGGGAGGTGGGGTGAATCTGTCAGGGATGGTACTTAGTAGGGCAGGGGACTGGATTGGATGACTTCTTGAGGTCTCTTCCAGCTCTACGAGACAGCTATATCTCCATACATTATTATAACCTGCTCTTAAATATTTCCAGTGATAGAGATTCCACAACCTCCCTGGGCAATTTACTCCAGTGTTAGGAACCTTTTCCTAATGTCCAACCTAAACCTCCTCTTGCTGCAATTTAAGCCCATTGCTTCTTGTCCTAAGGACTTCCTAGCAGACAAAATTCATCATCTAATCTTATTCCTAGTCGAGCTGGCTGGCGATGGCGGGAGAAGCATTCTGCGCCTATTTTCAGCCACGAAAATGTTTCTCTTTCTTCCTCTCCCTGACTGAGGTTGAGGGAACGCTCCGACAAAAATTTAGTAACATCCCTGCTTCAAACAATGGTCCAGTGCTGCCTATTTGTTTTGTTAGGACGTCCCATTTCAGTGATTTTATTATCATTGCTAGTTCCATTTTTTTTTCCACATTGACTTTCTGTTTTCAAAGCCGGGGATGTAAAGAAGTGCCCAGAACATACCTACACACAGCCTGTAGTATGCAACACCCACAGCAACTGGGTGAACGGTCCCACCGGTAACATGGTATGCAGACAACTGATATTACCCAAATTTACCTTCTCACAGGGGGCATCTCTTTATTGTTAATTAAATTAACACTTCCCCCAAGTAGGACTCACTTTACAACAGCAGGGTAATTCCGAGTTTTCCCTGCAGAATTTCCCTTTCTTCCTGTTAGTTTTCTTTTGCATTCGGGATGGTGTGAAATAGTGGTCCCCAACTTTTTGGGGCTGCTGGGGGTAGGGCTACTCATGCACTGAGTGTCTGGGGGTGAGGCCGCTCACATCCCGCATGCTCGGGGGCGGGACTGTGCGTGCGCTGTGCGCCCGAGGGCAGGGCCACCCATGCACCACGCGCCCAGGGCCGGCACCGTGCATGTGTCACGCGCCTGGGGCAGGGCCGCGTTGGGGACCACTGGTGTGGAATGTATTACATACTTTGAAGAGTTTGTCTGTTTGTGGGTTTGTTTATGGAAAAGAAAGTCATACTTTGCGATTATGTACAGACACCAAATATTGCCTAAACAATTCTGCCACTTAAATTAGCTGAATGCACTAAATTTTACACCGGAATATGCCAGGTGAAAGGTTTAAATAATTATTTTTGTTTTTCGTCACGGGAAAAAAAAGTCCTGGTTGTTATGATTAAAGTTCATAAAAAAAAGATTTGCTAACAAAATTAAAATCGCGTCGCCTAGTAAACTGTCATTTTAGTGCGAAGAAAATTGACACTGTTACAAATCACAATATAATTCCAATTAGTTGCAGAAAGAATAATGGAAGGTTTTCGAGTTTCTGATTCAAATGTACTAGGTATGGTAATTTATTCAATACAGTGAATAACGTTTGAAGCTGAAATCCTACACATTTAAAACGGTTCTTTTACTTCTCTTTTGCAAGCACATTAAGATTCTACGGTGTATATTTAATTTCCTAAACTTTCCTATCAGTGTAATCTACGCAAATAATAACTTGGCCCTGCCCTCGCCTGCTAGCCTCTTATATTCCTGAACGTAGCGAATAAGACCAGATGGGCGGCTGTCAGGATGAGTCAGCCAAATAGCCCTGCATCACCCTACTGTTTCTAAAACCTGATCTGTCAAACCATAGGTATGCGGGGAGGAAGGGGGCAATTGCCCCCAGGGTCTGATGATTCAAAAGGACCCAAAATCGTGGGCCTTTAAACCACTGCTGGAGCCTCTGGCTCCGCCCCTTCTACCTGAGGCCCCGCCCCTTCTGGGAGCACGGAATTGCCTCCTCTTGCCTGGGCGAGGCTGTTATTACTGCAAAAGGTAATAACAAAATGTTTTTTAAGTACATCAGAAGCAGGAAGCCAGCTAAACAACCAGTGGGCCCCTGGATGATCGAGATCCAAAAGGAGCACTTAACAACGATAAAGTCATCGTGGAGAAACTAAATGAATTCTTTGCTTCAGTCTTCACAGCTGAGGATGTTAGGGAGATTCCCAAATCTGCACCGTCCTTTGTGGGTGACAAATCTGAGGACTTGTAACGGATTGAAGTGTCATTAGAGAAGGTTTCGGAATTAATTGATAAACTTAACAGTAACAAGTCACTGGGACCAGACGGTATTCACCTAAGAGAGCTGAAAGAACTCAAATGTGAAATTGCGGAACTATTAACTGTGGTTTGTAACCTATCCTTTACATCAGCTTCTGTACCCAATGACTGGAAGATAGCTAATGTAATGCCAATATATAAAAAGGACTCTAGAGGCGATCCTGGCAATTACAGACCAGTAAGTCTAACCTCAGTACCAGGCAAATTAGTTGAAACAATAGTAAAGAATAAAATTGTCAGACACATAGAAGAACATAATTTGTTGGGCAAAAGTCAATATGTTTTCTGTAAAGGGAAATCATGTCTTACTAATCTATTAGAGTTCTTTGAAGGGGGTCAACAAACATGTGGACAAGGAAGATATAGTAAATATAGTGTACTTAGATTTCCAGAAAGCCTTTGACAAGGTCCCTCACCAAAGGCTCTTGTGTAAATTACATGGCCATGGGATAAGAGGGAAGATCCTTTTATGGACTGAGAACTGGTTAAAAGATAGGAAACAAAGGGTAGGAATAAATGATAAATTTTCAGAACGGAGAGAGGTAACTAGGGGTGTTCCCCAAGGGTCAGTCCTAAGACCAATCCTATTCAACTTATTCATAAATGATCTGGAGAAAGGGGTAAACAGCGAGGTGGCAAAGTTTGCAGATGATACTAAACTGCTCAAGGTAGTTAAGACCAAAGGAGACTGTGAAGAACTTCAAAAAGCTCTCACCAAACTAAGTGACTGGACAACAAAATGGCAAATGAAGTTTAATGTGGATAAATGTAAAGTAATGCACATTGGAAAAAATAACCCCAACTATACATAAAATATGATGGGGGCTAATTTAGCAACAACTAATCAGGAAAGAGATCTTGGAGTCATCATGGATAGGTCTCTGAAGACGTCCACGCAGTGTGCAGCGGCTGTCCAAAAAGCAAACAGGATGTTAGGCATCATTAAAAAAGGGATAGAGAATAAGATGGAGAATATCTTATTGCCCTTATATAAATCCATGGTACACCCACCTCTTGAATATTGTGTACTGATGTGGTCACTTCATCTTAAAAAAGATATATTTTGCCATTAGAAAAGGTTCAGAGAAGGGCAACTAAAATGATGAGGGGTTTGGAACGGGTTCCATATGAGGAGACGTTAAAGAGACTGGGACTTTTCAGCTTGGAAAAGAGGAGACTGAGGGAGGATATGATAGAGGTCTATAAAATCATGAGTGGTGTGGAGAAAGTGAATAAGGAAAAGTTATTTACTTGTTCCCATAATATAAGAACTAGGGACCACCACATGAAACTAATGGGCAGCAGGTTTAAAACAAATAAAAGGATGTTCTTCTTCACACAGCACATAGTCAATCTGTGGAACTCCTTGCCTGAGGAGGTTGTGAAGGCTAGGACTATAACACGGTTTAAAAGAGAACTAGATAAATTCATGGAGGTTAAGTCCATTAATGGCTATTAGCCAGTATGGGTAAGGAATGGTGTCCCTGGCCTCTGTTTGCCAGAGGGTGGAGATGGATGGTAGGAGAGAGATCGCTTGATCATTACCTGTTCGATTCACTCCCTCTGGGAAACCTAGCATTGGCCATTGTCGACAGACAGGGTACTGGGCTGCATGGACCTTTGGTCTGACCCAGTATGGCCATTCTGCCCCCGTTTGGCGCACCCCTGCCTATGATTGAATGAAAGAAAGGGACGTTGGACGACTGAAGCTACTCAACTCCCCTGGCAGCATCATACCCTCTTCCTGTTTATTCTTCCCTTATAAGCTAGGAAAACGGACAGTAAGCAGACACATATCAAGGCGACGTGCTGATTTCCGAGACTTACAATTTGGCAGGATTTCACCCATTTTTCCTGATGGCTCCGCCTAGAGAACCTACTTTAAAAAGCAAGAGGTGTCGGGAGGGGAGACCCACCATGCAGCGGGTTAGCAGGTGGGACAGGTGTCTTTAGATTGTAGCTGCTGGCCGTGGGTTTAACTCTGACCCAGCCTGACAGATGGAGGGGAGTTGGTTTGACGTTTCATCCAGTCCCCGGCGTTTGTTTAGGGGACGCCTCCGCGTCTGGCTGGGTTGGCTGCCACTGCACAAAGAGGGGCCGGCCCGGCACTGGGGAGACCCCAGGCCGGAATAGCAGAGGGCAGTGGTTTGTGACTGAGGCGAACTGGCAGAGCTGGGACAGGATGAGACCAGTAGGAGGCGCTGCGGATTAGCAAACCGATGTAACGGTGAACAGGGGACTTTATTACAGCGCTGGGTGGGCTAAGGTTGGGGCCGAGGCCTTTTTGTGAGGTAAAACGGAGTGTGGCTGGGCCCGTGGGTGCTGCAAAGGCCCCTGGCCCGGTGAGCACAGGGCTGGAGAAACACTGTGGCCATGCCTAGGATGAGCAGCTCCCCTTCTTTCTCATCCTTCTCTTGTTCAGGCCTGACTCATAACGCCCCACCCTACGGCCGGTGCAGAAGATAGAGATGCCGTCGGCTTCCTCTCTGTAACGGATTGGGCAGGGAGCAGTCAGGAGGCCCAGAGACACAATGGCTACGTCTACACTGCCCCCGTTTGGCGCAAGAAAATACGCAAATGAGGCGAAGCGATGAATATCACCGCGCTTTATTTGCATACTTAATGAGCCACCATTTTGCGCAAGGGGCTTTTGCGCAAAACCCCCCTCTTGCGCAAGAGCCGTTCTGCTGCTTTTTTTCAGGAAGACCGGCTCTTGCGCAAAAGCCCCTGGCACAAAATGGTGGCTCATTAAATATGCAAATGAGGCACGGCGATATTCACCGCTTTGCCTCATTTGCATATTTTCTTGCACAAGAGAGGGGAGTGTAGACATAGCCAATGTGAATTACAAGA